CCATACTGAGCCAGCATGGCTCAGCTTGGAAACCTCTCCCTTTCCCCTCAGCATGGCTGGCTCAGGAATTCTGGGAGTTGAAGTCCACGAGTCATCAAAGGGCCAAGGTTGCCTACCTCTGGCCTAGGCCTAGGCCGCTTTATGACTGGTGGACTTCAACTCCCAGAATTCCTGAGCCAGCATGGGGAACTGCGGCCTCTATGACTCGTGGACTTCAACTCCCAGAATTCCTGAGCCAACCACGCTGAGGGGAAAGGGAGAGGTTTCCATATTGAGCCATGCTGGCTCAGGAATTCTGGGAGTTGAAGTCCACGAGTCATAAAAGAGCCAAGGTTGCCTACCCCTGGACTAGACAAAGTAGGACCTCCCAAAGAAAGAGGTGTCTGAAATGTAACTTAAAGTTCGGAAGAAAGGCGATTCTTGGTCTTCACTTTTTTGTGCGGTTTCGTTTGCAGGATGCAAACGGTGGAGCTGAATATCAAAACCGTTTGTAAGGATGGCCGTTCGGAGCAAAAAGCAGAACTGCCCATGGCTTTGTGGCTGAAGAGCCACCAAAACACACTGTGGAAAATGGGCCACGGGTTCTCATTTGTGCAACTCTTGGTAAGAATTGACGCCGGAGGGGGGGGGAAATCTCTCTTTTTTTTTGATGCATTCAGCGGCTTCTTGGAAATTTATGGGTGAAACGAAGGGGTACAAATTCCCAAGGGGACAGATTTTCAAAATTAGCCAAAATCATTTTTACTGGGGCGCTGAGCGCAACGCCAAAAGACCCACACAAACCCTGTTTGTTGATGAGAAGCAGCCCGTCTCTCTGAAAGTGACCCACAAAAAAAAAGGGGTGATTACATTTTGAAAGGAAGAACTCACACCGGGAAATGTTGCATGGGTCAAAGTGGGCTCCCTGGGAAATGTAGATCTAAAGAAGTTTGTGGAATTCTCCTTCTTCTTTTTGTCTTGGTTTCTGTAGAAGGAAAAGTTTCCTGGGAAAAAAAGGGGGGATATGTTAGCAATACAGGGAGGGGAAATGGTTTAAAAATGGGTGTGGACTAGTCACCTTTTTTTTTTCTAAGACAGTAATTCTAAATAATTTCAAAGACTAATTCTAAGATTGTTGCAGAAAAGTGTTTTAAACCTTTTTCTTCTCCTCCTCCTTCTTCTCCCCCTCTTCCTCTTCTTCCTTTTGTCTCCTTCTCCATCTCCTCTTCCTTCTCTGCCTTTTCTCCTTCTCCTCTTCCTCCTCCTCTTCCTTCTCTTTTCCTCCATCTTCTCTTTCTCCTCATCTTCCTCCTGTCTTCTTTCTCTTCCATCTTCTCCTTCTTCTCTTCCTCCTCTGCCTTCTCTTCTTCATCGTCTTCTCCTTCTCTTCATCCTCCACATTCTTTCTCCTCCTCCTTTCTCCTTCTTCCTCCCCATCTCTTCCACCTCCTTCCACCACCTTTTCTCCTCCATCTTTTCCTTCTCTTCTCTGCCTCCTCTGCCTTCTCTTCTCCATCTTCTCTTCCTTCTCCTTTCTTCTTCTCCACCTCTTCTTCCTCATCTCCTCCACCTCCTTCTCTTTCTCCGTGTCTTCCTCCTCCTCCTGTCTTCATCTTTCTCCATCTGTTCCTCCTCCTTCTTCTCTGCCTTCTCCTTCTGTGTCTCTTCTTCTTCTTCTTCTTCTTCTTCTTCTTCTTCTTCTTCTTCTTCTTCTTCTTCTTCTTCTTCTTCTTCTTCTTCTTCTTCTTCTTCTTCTTCTTCTTCTTCTTCTTCTTCTTCTTCTCCTTCTCCTTCTCTCTCTCTCTCTCAGGCATCTGGTAAATATTCATTCGCTACCTTCTCTGGGGTGCACAATGGTACGACGCTTCCCGACAATAAGGAGGAACTGATACAAAAGGCCCGCAACAATTCCTTCATGACTTCTTACACCGAAATCCCCTCAGCCAAAAGCATCAGCCTGGAATATAAGAGGATTTGCGGTGAGTCAGTATAATACAATCTGGGTTGGAGGCAGCCGGCTGGATCAGAGCAAGGAGAAGACAATATTTGCAGGATCTTGAGGGATCCATATTCCACGGCCTAGCAGTTAGAAGGCTTTGTTGAGTTGGGTTGAGTTTCCAATGGTTCTTGGGAAACTTAAAGAGTTTAGAAACAACTTGACGGGGCTCTGGAAGAAAAAAAGAGCCAAGAAACCAAATTCGGAAGATAAGTTATCTCAAAACAGTTTTCTATTACTTGAGCTTCACCTCTTGATCGGAAGCTCTGGAGATCTTGTTCTGCACCAGTAATAGATCCCACAGTTTGAAAAATAATTGGAAATGCTGGCCTAGGCTTTCTAGATCCAAGGTCCCTTGCTCAGCGTAGGACTTGTGGAGATATGGAGCACCATCTATGTTGACTTGAGCCCCTGGGAGGAAAAAAACAACAAGCCATGATTGTCAAGCTCAAAGTCCACTTTTTTAATGTCTCTTTGGGATCCTGTTTTACAGGCTCAGCCGTAGTCACAACCACCCCAGCCCCCCAGACAGCAGAAAACCTGACCGTCAAGGTCCACCAGCTCATCAACCTTTGCAAGCCCTGGAAGTGCTTGGATAGCAGCATCGAAATTGCTCTCCTCAAGATGTATCTGACGGTAAGGAAGTCCACCTGGGATGCCGGGCAGTCCTGCCTCAGTTTCCCTGTCCGTCTCCCTTCCTGGAGCCCTGCCAGTAAGGTCAGCCACTTGGACTCTTCCAGAGAGGTTGGACTACATATCCCAGAAGCCCCAGGCAGGCTGCCATGGATCGGAAATATCGGGGTTGGATCAATCGTCCCCGCCGAGTCAACTGTAGCTTAGAACACACTGACAGATTAAATGATTTCCACATAATTAGTATTACTGAAATTCTAATTCTAATTCTAATAATAATAATGTTGGGAGGGATCTTGGAGGTCATCTAGTCCAACCCCCTGCTTAGCACAACCCCATGCTTCTTTTCTCAGCCAACCTGTGGAAGAGTTCTGTTAAATCCAGAAGCTTTCCCGTTCTCTCCTTGGGTTGTCCCTATTAAAACGTCTCCCAGCTAACCCTGGTTCGTCCTTCTCCTTGCAACCCCAGGTGTTACCTACCCGGGTCGATGCCATCACCTTGAAAGATCCCAGCTGCAGGGCCAGAGACAACACGACCCATTTTGTCCTCAACAGCATCCTGGACAAATGTTCCACCCAACTTGAAGGGGGTGTCCATGTGAAAAACCAGGTATGGTATTTTTTTTTCTACAAGGTGTTGCCCCCCAAATCCTGGCCTGGTGCCCAAAAATCCTGGCCTGGTACCCACCGAATCATAGCCTGGAACCCCCAATATCCTGGCCTGAAGCCCCCCAAATCCTGGCCTGATTCCCCCCAAATCCTGGCCTGGTGTCCCCAAAATCATAGCCTGGAACCCCCCCCCATATCCTGGCCTGGTTCCCCCCAAATCCTGGCCTGGTGCCCCCCAAATCATAGTCTGGAGCCCCCCATATCCTGGCCTGAAGCCCCCCAAATCCTGGCCTGGTGCCCCCCAAATCCTGGCCTGGTGCCCCCCAAATCATAGCCTGGAACCCCCCATATCCTGGCCTGAAGCCCCCCAAATCCTGGCCTGGTTCCCCCCAAATCCTGGCCTGGTGTCCCCAAAATCATAGCCTGGAACCCCCCATATCCTGGCCTGAAGACCTCNCTCTAAAAACCAATCCCCGGTTTATACTCGGTTTAATAACTTTCCCGAGGCTGGCTGGGCTCTTTATTACTCTGGTGAATTCTTTCGATATGACTTAATACGGGGTCCTCGACAAGCACCACGCTGCAGCTTTGGAAAGAATTACTCCGCTGCTATTTTTTAAAAAGTCAGAAGAGGAGGTGACAAGAGTATTTTTTTTTAAAGAAAAGACAGAATTCTGTTTTGTTTAGCATGCAAAAACCGGGGGGGGGGGAATATGCTGCATTCTTAGATATATCTACCTTGAGTTTCAATGGGACATCCCATTACAGAATAGAATAGAATAGAATAGAATAGAATAGAGTGGAGTGGAGTGGAGTGGAGTGGAATGGAATGGAATAGAATAGAATAGAATAGAATAGAATAGAATAGAATAGAATGGAGTGGAGTGGAGTGGAGTGGAGTGGAGTGGAGTGGAGTGGAGTGGAATGGAATGGAATAGAATAGAATAGAATAGAATAGAATAGAATAGAATAGAAGATAGAGAATAGAATAAAATAGAATAGAATAGAATAGAATGAGAGAGAGAGAGAGAATAGAATAGAATAGAATAGAATAGAATAGAATAGAATAGAATAGAAAATAGAATAGAATAGAATAGAATAGAATAGAATAGAATAGAATAGAATAGAATAGAATAGATTATAGTATATAGGATAGGATAGAAGCTGGAAGGGACCTTGTAGGTCATCTAGACCAACCCCCTGCCCAAGCAGGAGACCCTACACCATTTCTGACAGATGACAGATAAATACCATTATCTGTATGATCTGCAACTGGCGGCCCACCTCTTAAAAGCAGGCCTTGGCCCTGGCTTAGGAGAGACTATCAGACGAGACTTGTGAGAAGAGCTTTCTAACTTTGATACGATACCTGGTAGGAAAATGTAAAAGTCCCGTGAAATGCAAGGTCTCGCGTTTCCGCTTGGGAAAAAGGAATTGGTGCAAGCCCCCCACAAGCATGGTTTTGTCCGTGATTCATTTACAAAAAAAAGAAAAATTGTTCCACGCAAAAGTTTTCAATTTTTCTCCTTTGCAAACCTATCCATCGGCGTATTTCAGCCTCTGAAACTCTATAAAGATGCCGTTTGCGGATCTGGGGAATCTTTTGCTGGCTTGCAAACGGATCGGCACCAAGCCGATCCACTTGCACTCTAAGGGAACAGCAAAGGTCCCCAAGGATGCTTTTTCAGGAGACAACTGGACCTTCTTGTTTTTCTTTGAAGATGTTTCGCTTCCCCTCCATCAACTCGGAGCTGAAGAAGCTTCTGGGAGGAGAAGCGAAACGCCTTCAAAGAAAAACAAGAAAGTCCAGTTGCCCCTCCTGAAAAAAACACCTTTGGGATAACCGTGACCTGGATGACTTGAGAATCTCCGTGGAAAAACAAACGAATCCAGTTGTTTGATCCTCGGCTGCAGGTGCCCTTTGAATGTGACCTACCGGAGAAAGTGTCTCTCCAGCTTTACAACTCGGAGGATTTCAACTCGCCAAGCAATCCGGTGATACAAGCTCACCAAGTTACCTACGTGGAGGTAAGACGGGTCTTGGGGGTTTGGGGGTAGGAAGGTAGACTTCAAGTCACCGCGATGTAAAAAAGATGTTGAGACTTTAGAAAGAGTACAGAGAAGAGCAACAAAGACGATCAGGGGACTGGAAGCTAAAACATACAAGGAACGGTTGCTGGAATTGGGTATGTCTAGTTTAATGAAGAGAAGGACGAGGGGGGACATGATAGCAGAGTTCCAGTATCTCAGGGGCTGCCCCAAACAAGAGGGAGTCAAGCTATTCTCCAAAGCGCCTGAAGGCTGGACAAGAAGCAACGGATGGAAACTAACCAAAGAGAGAAGCAACTAGAACTAAGGAGGAATTTCCTGACAGTCAGAACAATTAACCAGTGGAACCACCTGCCTCCAGAAGCGGTGAATGCTCCAACACTGGGAGTCTTTAAGAAGAGACTGGACAGCCATTTGTCCGAAATGGTATAGGGTTTTCTGCCTGAGCAGGGGGTTGGACTAGATGACCTTCAAGGTCCCTTCCAACTTTATTATTATTATTATTATTATTATTATTATTATTATTATTATTATTATTATTATTATTATTATTATTATTAAGTCCCAAGGACAGAAGAGGGGTGTTGGGAGCTGAGGTCAATGGAAGGCTGCGTTCAGAACAACCCAGGCAAAACCGAGCAGATGCACACTTTGCAAAACAAAGGCAAAAAACACTTGCGAGACAAGTCGGGCTGGTGTTAAGCTTGATGTGGCTTCACACCTTGGCCCAACTGAGCTTGTTGGGTGAGATAATAATAATAATAATAATAATAATAATAATAATAATAATAACAACAACAACAACAACAACAACAACAACGATAGAGTTGGAAGGGACCTTGGAGGTCATCTAGTCCAGCCCCCTGCTCAGGCAGGAAACCCTGTACCATTTCAGAAAGTAGAGTGGAGTGGAGTGGAGTGGAGTAGAATAGGAATATGGAATGTAGAATATAGAATAGAATATAGAATATGGAAAATAGAATAGAATAGAATATGGAATATAGAATAGAATAGAATAAGGATAGGAAATAGAATAGAATAGAATAAGGATAGTAAATAGAATAGAATAGAATATTGGAAGGGACCTTGGAGGTCGTCTAGTCCAACCCCCTGCTCAGGCAGGAAACCCTATACCATTTCAAACAAATGGCTGTCCAGTCTCTTCTTAAAAACTTCCAGTGTTGGAGCATTCACCACTTCTGGAGGCAGGTTGTTCCACTGGTTAATTGTTCTCACTGTCAGGAAGTTTCTCTTTAGTTCCAGGTTGCTTCTCTCCTTGATTAGTTTCCATCCGTTGCTTCTTGTCCTGCCTTCAGGGGCTTTGGAGAATAGCTTGACTCCCTCTTCTTTGTGGCAGCCCGTTTAGGGTTCTAGGTGTTGTGTGAATATGGGAAATACTTTAATTCAGGGATAAAGGAAGGGGTGAGAACAGGGGAACCAGACCCACCTCCATTTCAGATAAGTGTCCTTGAAAACAACGTTGTGACTAAGATTGTCTCGTGTTTTTTTCCCCTCCCATCGCCTTCCCTCTCAATAGGTCTCGCTCCGAACAGCCATGAAGCAGTTTTCTCTAGAAATGGGAGACTGTTTCTTAAAACCCCGAGACAGCCCGCCTCAGTTGTTCTTCCACCAAGGGCTCTCTCTGAGCTACTCGGTGGAGACCCTGAAATCCCCCAGCCCGAAGACCCAACGCTTCAGCTTCACCTACAAGCCAGAGGAAGAACTGTGGTCCATCGATTCGGCCACTTTGGTTTGCGTGGTCCATCTGAACACCTCGGTGAGTTGGCCTCTGAAGGACTTTCTTTGTCATGATGGCGACGTCCATTGAATTGTGTCTGACTCTTGGTGGTTCTTTGGACCAGGTCTCTCCACATCTTCTGATCTTGCCCTAAAACTTCTTTTGAGTTGTCCTATGCTCTGGCTGGTGTCACCTTTGATGCCGTCATGTTCTTTGATGGCCTGGTTTCCTTTTACCACTCATTCTTCCAAACACTGTTGCTTTCTCCAGTGAATTTCCTTAGGTGACTTTTTCAGGAGGCAACTGGGCTTTCTTGTTTTTCTTTGAAGACATTTCGCTTTTCATCCCAGAAGCTTCTTCAGCTCTGACTGGATGGTGGGGAACGGAAGGATTTATACTCCTTGCAGACAGCTGGTCATTTGCATTCTTTTCTAGAGTCGTTGAGGCCACTTGGAGGTTTACCTCACCCATTTGCACCTCTCAGGTGACCTTGAGGACACAGATAAAACTCCAAATGGCCTCAACAACTCTCTAAAAGAAGGCAAATGACCAGCTGTCTGCAAGGAGTATAAATCCTTCCATTCCTCACCATCCAGTCAGAGCTGAAGAAGCTTCTGGGATGAGAAGCGAAACGTCTTCAAAGAAAAACAAGAAAGTCCAGTTGCCTCCTGAAAAAAACACCTTTGGGACAACTATGACCTCCATAGATTCTTCCCTTCGTGGCATGGCCAAAATAAGTGAGATTTTTGTGATTTTCTTTGCCTTCCAGTGAGATTTAATGGAGGTATTTTGGCCAAATGTCAGAATCCTTCGTCCATTCTCCCTCAGTTTTGGAGGCTGGATGATAAGGTGACCTCAACTCTACTTGCTTCCTTTAAAAAAGTCTTGAGAAGCAGTTCGCATTCTCTTCTCCAGCAAAATACAGGCAGTCCTTGACTTATTCACTGATTGCTTAGTGACCGTTTGAGGCTACGACAGCCCTCAAAAAAAAAGAAGACCTGGATTCCAAATTCTGAGGTGGTCCTGGCAATGATGTGACCACAATTTCCTACATTTAGTGTCTTGAACCAGGTTTATTTCCAGTTTCCCGCCAAAAAACGCTCATTGCAGACAATGGGTCGACTTTACAACCGTGTCTGCTTAAGACTACCACCCAAAACTGACATAAAATGGGGCGGGTTCCTCCAGCGCCTCAGTTTACAACCGTCATGGCCCACGATGAAAATTCTGGCCTCCGTTACCGTCGCAATGTCGAGGACTCCCTGCGTTGCTTTTGCGTGACAGGAATTAACTCTGTTTTCTGTACTTGGTCTGTGTCTGAAGATGTGTGACTTGTCCTTTATGACCTCCCTAATAACTCGGGGGGGGGGGAAGAAGTTTGCTGTTTCAAAGGAAGCCTAGTTTTAAAAAAAGGGGAAGTGGAAGAATTCCCTCTTTTAAATCCAACTTATTTTTTTCCTCCTTTCCAGAACGACAAACGCCGAAGCTACGAAGGCTCTTTAGAAGTGATGCTCAAAAACTACAATCCTGGATCCCACAGTGAGTCCACAGCTCTTTTCTACACAAAATAGGTTCACTGTTTGCTCTCTTTTACGTGTGGTTATTTTGCAGAAAAGTTGGTTCATGCATGTAAAGGTCTGTTTGGGGAAGGGCACCCTTTCTCTCTTTACAAATCAGCTTTGTGATGCTGAGAATAGTGTGGAAAGCTCTTTTAAGCACCCACAGATTGTTAAAAACAGGACCCTTTTTCAACTTCTAAAATTCATGCACTTCCAAACTTCCAAAGACGAAGGGACACCTTTCCCCGGTGGTGTTTGTGTTTTGTATTCCGAATCTGTTTTTTCCTCTTTCTGTCTAGCTTAGCCTTCCCAAAAATGCTTTAACATTTCTCCTTTTGTTGTGTGGCCTCCACTGTGTTTGGCAAAGGCCATCCTCCCATGTCTTCCCCCCTTTTCTAACTTACCAAAGGTGAAAAGCCTGATAACCACTAGATGGCAGGAGAGAGTTTTCAGTCTCTCCTACTGCCCTCTAGTGAGCATTTATAACAGAATAATAGAGTTGGAAGAGACCTTGGAAGTCTTCTAGTCCAACCTCCTGCTCAAGCAGGAGACCTTAAAACTATTTCAGACAAATGGTTGTCCAATCTCTTCTTCAAAACCTCCAGCGATGGAGCACCCACAACTTCTGGAGGCAAGTTGTTCCATTGGTTAATTGTTCTCACTGTCAGGAAATTCCTCCTTAGTTCTAGGTTGCTTCTCTCCTGGATTAGTTTCCATCCGTTGCTTCTTGTCCTGCCTTCTGGTGCTTTGGAAAACAGGTTGATCTCCTCTTCTCCTCAAATATTGGGACACAACTATCATGTTATCCCTAGTCCTTCTTTTCGCAAAATTTGCATTATGGTGGTAACTGAAACTCCAAGTCAAAGCGGTAAATCCTCTCCATCTTTCTCCTTCGCCTGGCTCACGGCCTTCGCCATACCCATGTCTGGTGGCCTCATGGAGGCGACAAGTTGTGATGCCTGTACCTCCATCTCCACAGGGGCCACACAGGGTGGTCCTTTGGCCCAGCCGGAAGGCGTGCACCGTGACCTTGGCTGGTGGCACCTCTGAGCCATGGATCTGCGGCGAGAGAAAGCACGCATGGACAACGGAAGAGGATTTAGGCTAGAACGGAAGCCAACGGGTACCGCCCAAGCCAGAGTTGGATAATGGTGGGTGAGGTGCCATGTTTGATGCAGAACAGTGACAGCCCTGAAGGACCTTATCTCCTCCATTATCCCAGCTGATGTGGCTTTTGACTTCATGGAGCACCATTGGCGTCCAGACGTCTGTGCGAGGGAAGGAGATAAATGATAACGAGTTAAGAAAGCAGGAAGACTCGCATCTTTTCCAGACGGATGTTCAAGAGATAACGAGAATCAGCTGGCGTACAAACAGATCCGATTGTTGGCGCGTGGCCTCCAAGTCCAAAGGTTCTCCTGGAGACAACTCTCGTTGTGAAGGAAGGGAAGAGGACAAAAGGTTTTGGAGTCAGCGGCAAAGAGATATTTCAAAAAAAGGAAAGGCGTTCCTGAGGATCTCCTTGGCTTCCTCTTCAGCGAAGGTCCATGTCTCCATTTGGAGTAGACCTTGAGAAGATCTATCCTTGCAGGGTTTTGCATTTGAGGACAATTCAATAGAGCTTTGGGTCTCAGGAGGCCAGGTTCCCCAAAAGCCAGCAGAATCTGGAGAAAGAAGCACATATAACCAGCATAAAACCAAACACAGTTTCATTTTCAAACACACTCCAACGAAGACAATCGTCCTCCCTGTATCAAACAGTGTTTTTAATCACATTAAAAATGGCAAGTTGATGGGGGTTGGGTGAAGGAAGGTGGATGCAGATGGTGCCCCTTTGTTTTGAAAGCAGAACATCTGCATCTTTTCTAGTTTTTTTTTAGTTGTCCTCCGTCAAAGGTGGATTTTCTATTCCTGTTCTTCCTTTCTTTCTTCTGTTGTGGGGGCAGTTTTTCCTGGAGACTTGTGCAGACACACAAGATTTCCCACTGGAGATGTGTAGGATGAAGGGGCAGATCTCCCAAAATAAAACAAAGCAACTTTGATTTTAGAATCAAGATCACGTGAAGTATTAGTACCGCTTTATAAAGCCTTAGTAAGGCCACACCTGGAATACTGCATCCAGCTTTGGTCACCACATTACAAAAAAGATGTTGAGGCTTTGGAAAAAGCGCCAAGAAGAGCAACTAAGATGATTAAAGGAGACTAAAACATATGAAGGACGGCTGCAGGACTTGGGTTTGGCTAGTCTGAAGAAAAGAAGAAACAGGGGTGACATGTTAGCAAAATTCCAGTATTTGAGGGGCTGCCACAAAGAAGAGGGAGTCAAGCTATTCTCCAAAGCACCTGAAGGCTGGACAAGAAACAATGGTTGGAAACTGATCAAAGAGAGAAGGAACTTGGAATTAAGGAGAAACTTCCTAACAGTGAGGACAATAAACTAGTGGAACAGAAGTTGTAGGTGCTCCATCACTGGAGCTTTTTAAGAAGAGACTGGGCAGTCACTTGTCTGAAATGGCATAGAGTCTTCTGCTTGAGCAGGGGGCTGGACTAGAAGACCTCCAAGGTCCCTTCCAGCTCTATTCTGATTGAACTTCAAGAGGGATGACCACCACAAGGATGAAATTGCCAATGTTCTGCTGACTAAGATTTGGGGGCTCTGTGGCCGTAGGAACACAAGGATGGGGGAAGGCATGGAAGGGGCTTCCTCACAATTCCTTCCTGAGAATAGAATAGAATTAAGGAATAGAATAGAATAGAATAGAATTAAGGAATAGAATAGAATTAAGGAATAGAATAGAATAGAATAGAATAGAATAGAATAGAATAAAGGAATAGAATAGAATTAAGGAATAGAATAGAATAGAATAGAATAGAATAGAATAGAATAGAATAGAATAGAATAGAATAGAATAGAATAGAATAGAATAGAATAGAATAGAAGACAAGAGAAGACAAGAGAATAGGAGATAGAAAATAGAAATAGAAGGATAGAGTAGAATAGAATAGAGCATAGAATAGAATAGGAATAGGAAGAATAGAATAGAATAGAATAGAATAGAATAGAATAGAATAGAATAGAATAGAATAGAATAGAATAGAATAGAACAGAATAGAATTCTTTATTGGCCAAGGAATTTGATGTCAATATGGATGTTTTCCGTCCTTCTGGAGGTCCTCCTTCCTGCCTCGCTCCTGTGTGGCTCCCGCCGGGCAGGAAAAACAATACAACGAGGAAAAACTCTTGACACGAACTCAGCCCCAGAGGACCCTGGCCGAGCACACTGCGCACGTCGGAGGATGTTCCTTCATCCTTTCAGTGTCCTTGTTTTGACACAGCAAGCCTCAGGGGGAAAACCTGGCTGGTCTTAAGGTGTCATTTGGGAGAAAATAAAACAGGCTTAGAGAGTGAAAACTGACAGGCAGTCCTCTACTTACGACCACAATCAGGGTCGGCACTTCCCTTGCTAAGCGAGGAATTTATGACAAGCGAGACCCACAATTGCTAAGCGAGGCAAGCTGCTAATTGGACCGGTGCCCAATTTCACCACCTTTTCCGTCGCGGCAGCGAAGGGGGGGGTCACCGCAGTCGTTAAAGAGAATCGCACGGTCGTTAAGCAAATCTGGGCTTATCCCATCGACTTTGCTCGTCGGAAGGCCGCAAAGGGAGGATCACGTGAGCCACCCAGGGACACCGCAACCGCCACAAGTACAGGCCAGTTGCCAAGCGATCTAATTTTGATCACGTGACCTTGAGGAGGCTACTGTTGTGAGTTTGAGGACCTGTTTGTAGGTGTAGGTGGCTTTTTTCCCCCCCCAGTTTTGACTTTGAACCGTCATTAAATGAAATGTGTGTAATTCGAGGACCGCCTGTGAGGGAAATACAGAAGCACCTGCGCGCGTGCAAAGTGCAAATGATACTGCTTTAATCTGGGAAAGAAGCTCTTCAAAATCCACCTTATTTTAATGTGTTTTAATTGTTTCTCTTTAGACCAAGGCTTGAGGATCAGCACCGTGCTGGGCATCGCCTTTGGCGCTTTCTTGATCGGAGTCCTGCTCACCGGGGCGTTGTGGTTCATCTATTCTCACACTCGTAAGTTGTGTCACTTCCAAGGGAGATTTGTTTGCATGGTGGAGGGCGGGGGATGAGGGGGGGGGCACCCACCCAGCTGAACCCCCTTTAGAGGGTGAATGTTGCAGTCCGAGCTCAGCAATCCAAGGGGGCCCTAGAAACTGATTTCTGCCTTGAGGTTGCTAGTCCTCATGATTCTGGAGAAGCGCAGTTCAAACAGGAACATCACACTAGCTCTCTTCGGCCGCCGGTTTAACTCAAGATGACCAAGTAAAGCGATCTTTCCCAGCCTTATCTGGAGATGCAAAGGGTGGGATCGGCCTTTTTTCCATTAAGGGACCCCCTTATCTTTATTCTCCCACCGTCTCCCCCTTCCTCGCGGTCCCTCCAATTCCCAAACAGGAGACATCTGGTCCCGCTTGGCAGCCCGACCTGCATATTTTCCTTAATCTCTGGAACAGCGGAAGAGGTGCAATCGCTGAATTTTTATCTGCTTTTGGGATGGCCGGGCAAGGTCCACCTCGGCTGGAGAAGGCAGTGGGAAAGCACTCGGGACAATCCCGCTGGGATTTCACGAAGCCATCAGGCCCGCCATGTGCTTTCCTTCTCCTTGTCAGCTCCCCAGTTGGGTCCAGCATGGGAATTTTTCCCCAGCAGAAGACAATATCCGTAGCTCAATTTGAACTGTGAGACCCCTGGTGTTTGTTTGTTTTTTTTGAGTTGAGTTGTTGGCTTGCAGATGTTTTCATTACCCAACTAGGAAACATCATCAGAATAACAAGAGTTGGAAGGGACCTGGGAGGTCCTCTAGTCCAACCCCCTGCTCAGGCAGGAAACCCTATACCATTCCAGACAAATTGCTTAAAAACCTTCAGTGATGGAGCAGCCACAATTCTTCTTAAAAACCTCCAGTGATGGAGCAGCCACAATTTCTGGAGGCAGGCTGTTCCACTGGTTAATTGTTCTCACTGTCAGGAAATTTCTCCTTGGTTCCAGGTTGCTTCTCTCCTTGATTAGTTCCCATCTGTTGCTTCTTGTCCTGCCTTCTGGCGCTTTGGAGAATAGCTTGACTCCCTCTTCTTTGTGGCAGCCCCTGAGATACTGGAACACTGCTACCATGCCACCCCTGGTATAGAATAGTATAGAATGAGAGAGTTGGAAGGGACCTTGGAGGTCTTCTAGTCCAGCCCTCTGCTCAAGCAGGAGACCTTATACCATTTCAGACAAATGGTTGTCCAATCTCTTCTTAAAAACCTCCAGTGTTTGCACACCTACAACTTCTGGAGGCAGGTTGTTCCACTGGTTAATTGTTCGGTCAGGAATTTCTTTTCTTAGTTCTATGTTGCTTCTCTCCTTGATTAGTTTCCATCTGCTGCTTCTTGTCCTGCCTCTTGATCCTTTGCAGACTAGGTTGACCCCCTCATCTTTGGGGCAGCCCCCGAGATATCGGAAGACTGCAAAGATCAACAAGGTCTCCCATTTATTATCAGATGCTATCATGTCGCCCCCTAGTCCTTCTCGTTATCAGGTCCTCCTGATGGGTAATGATACATCTGGAAACCAACAACTCAACTCAAGAGCGCACCAAGGACCTTCTCCCCACCTTCTCCAAACAGCCCACCCTTTTTCATGACTTCTAACCCGTTCCAGGTCCGATCGCCAAAACCCAGCCAGCCTTGGCGAACGCACCTGCGTCGGAGAGCAGCAGCACCAACCACAGTTTGGGCAGCACCCAGAGCACCCCCTGTTCCACCAGCAGCATGGCATAGCACCCTGACAACGGGGAGCCACCAGCTTAGAGAGAAAGCACCAGGACTGCAAAGCCGTTGGGTTCCGAGGTTGGTGAAGAAGGTTCCGCTTCAACCCAACTGACTTCTGTTCTTCTCCTTCACGCGTCGAAAAGTTGGGTGTCTCCAGCCGGCAACTTCAAAGGCTACTTCTTGGGAACTATCGGGTTTCCTGAGGGGCACTGGGGTCCCACCGCTTTAATCTGGGACTAGAATTGTGTTCCAGTTCATTGTGGCCAAGGTCTTCAAGGATGGACTGTTGGACTACTAGACTCTTCTCCTGTTAGGTACCAGCTAGCGAGTGGGAGAGCGTCTATTGATCGTTGGTGATTTGTTAACCCCAGGAGCAGCTAACCTCGCTTTTGAAAGAAACCAGGATGAACTAGGCTTGTGGAGGTTTGCTTTGTCTCCTGGCTAAAACCCTGGAGACAAAAAGTATTATCTGAATCGAGAATCCCGTAGGATTGACACGTGTTAGCTTCTCGTGGGTCTGTCCTCCCGTTGTCAAGAGCCCAACTTTGCTCGTGGGGTGGTGGGCAAGGCTTTGGCCCATCCCCCACAGAGGTCTTCCATGGGTCATCAAACCCAGATCATTCCAGGAATTTTGGTTCTCCTTTCTACCGGATTTGAACTTAGTTTTCCAAGCGGGATGCTCCAGGGTTACCCCAAACTCCGATTCCCATCAACTTTCAGGAGCGAACAAGCTGGGGATCATGGGAGTGAGTGCCCACCTGAAAAGCACCCGCTTCTCCTTAAGAGAATGGTGAAGGCCCCTCTTAAAATTGGCCTCGCAGCAAGCTTTCAAGATAGAAGAAGCAAGAGTCTTGAGCGGGGGGGGGTGGGTTAGACTAGAAGACCTCCAAGATCCCTCCCGTCATCCTGTTAAGTCAAAGAGTTAATTCAGGAGGGGAACCCCCACGTTTTCTGCGTGTTTTGCAGCCCCCAGGTTAACTGCAAATCACAATTCTGTATATTTGGCACTTCCGTATCCCCGTCGGCCCTCCAAAATTAACCCCAGTTATACTCACTTCAGCCGGTTGTGTGCAAATAGCTAATAGAGTTTAGCATCCTCCTCGTTGTAAAAGGACTCGGGGCGGCCTCTGTTCTGAAAAGACGTATAATTGTTATGTATATAAATAACTAAACGTAGAATATATTTTGTAAACTGCATACAGGGAAATAATACCACACCTACTCACCATTTGTCGGTTCCGATTGTTGTTGTTTTTTAAAGTCTTCGGATGGGTGAGGGGGCTTCCAACAGGACCCCAGAAGCCATAAATTGGGGGTGGGGGGGGTGGGGAACGCCCTGAAGGGAAACTGAGTCACGTCTGGCAATGCCCCACCAATTTCCGATCAACGTCAACAGCCCAGCGGGAGTTGCCCCAGCTGCAATTACAGATGCTGGAAGGCTGGGATATTGTCTGGGTTTGATTGACAGATGCAAATCAGGACACTTTTTTGTGTGTGTGTGTGCAGCAAGCACACCAATTTGCATAGAGAAGCCTTTCGTCGCCCCCTGGAGGACGGGATGTGTGTTTCTCTTCCATGCTAAAATGCCCCCTGTTGGATGGTTTTAAAAATGCATGTTGGAAAGCTCAAATTACATTCCTTGTCAGTTCCCGTCTTAAGTCTGAAACATGTAGCCACAGATGAGCCAAGAATTCCCATTTGTCATTTTTTAATTTATTCATCTGGAGCATTTATTTGCTTGGAATCCGAGTCTGTCTCTGCCAGTTTTTTCTCTCCCCTCCCTCCCTCCCCATTATTCCAAAGCTTACGCTCCGTCAGTTTTTTACAAAGAATGCTCAAAAGAAAACAAGTTAAGACTTTTAAAAAACAGCTGTAAACAATGCAAAATAAAACCACATTTCTCTCTCTCGATAAATTACTTTTATAAATTCAGCATGATCTGCTCCTTGGGGGGACAGGAAGGAGACCCACGGGCATTAGAATGGAAGCATACAATTATTATTTTTTAAAATAACAGTCATCATGTTCTGTGCTCTGAGAAGGTCACCAGATCGCCCCCACCCACCCACGCTGGAAGCAAAAAAAAAATAAAATAAAAATCCAGAATGGCTGTTGCATCAGTACAAGACAAGATTCCAGTTAAAAACGGCTTGCAAATTCCAGAAGGGGGAGGAATTAAACAGAAAAGAGCTTGCATGCTTTCATTTGCAAGATATTCGGAGAATGTCCCGCCAGCACAGGGCTGCTTCTTCAACACTAGGCTTGTTTGCATATCTTGAAATTCTGGAAATCTGAAACTATCCCAGGAGGGGAGTCCAAGGGGCTGGGGGAAATTTAATCCCCAACTTTATGCAATTTGGAGAGGCAGGCATAACATTTCTTAAAAAAGAGGGTTTAATCCAAGCTCAGCATCTTTCTGGGGGGTTTTTTGGGAGAGGGGGGGAAATCACTAGATTTCAAGCTAAGCCGTAAAGAGAAATATAAATGCACCAAGGAAGGAAGGAAGGAAGGAAGGAAGGAAGGAAGGAAGGAAGGAAGGAAGGAAGGAAGGAAGGAAGGAAGGAAGG